TTCACTACCGCCGGCATATCGGAAAGTTGTATGGTGACAAAAGTAGTGGAGATAAGGGAGGGTAATTTTTCAAGTGTAGTCTAAGTTAGAAGGTAGTAAGTTAGCGTAAATTTCGGGGAGATCATAGGGCCAAGTCCAATTGTAAACATGTATTCAAGGGTTGAACTTGACAGCTCGGCGGGTTTATATGAAGCCTTAAAAAGATAAATTAGTTTGTAAGATAATTATTGTTTGTATTTAAGAACTATTGAAACTCTAGGTATACATAGTTGTTACTTACGTAAATAAGTACAAAAACTCAAAGCATCTGTATATTTACCTTTTCTGTAAAAGAAAAGGCGCAACTAATTCAGGGACTTATTGCCGATACGCACAGGTAAATTGTGTATTTCTAATAGATGATAATGTAAATATTGACTTGGAAGAGCTTACGCTAAGAAACAAGTTGTAATCATCACGTAAGAATGTTAAAATTGTTATTTATATATAAGACTAGAGTTACGCGGCCACGCCTTGCTGTGGCTCAGTCAAATAAAATGGAAATATGAAACTCAGAGAACTTAAACGGTTTTATTAGACGCTTGTATATATAATGCAGGTAGAATATTATATATTTTATAATAAGAAACAACCAACGCCAAATCCCGCAAATTTATAATGGTCATCTCACTTTTTTAAAAAGACAGTTGCTAGTAAAAAAGGTTAGAAGGTGAACTACTAGTTGAGCTCAGGGGCTAACTGGTACTTTACTAGTTCAGTACTAGTGAATTTCACTGCTTGGTGGTATTTGCAGTGATATGTGTTTCTCAGTGTGTGTGCGATTAATTGCGCCTGAAAGCACGCTATTGTTGGTTATCGGGTTCAATGTAGAAACCAGCAAATAACTTGCGCGTATTCTTTAAACAGAGTAGACCCGGATTAGTCTACAGTGAATACAGGCGGGAATTAATTAGTCTCAACCAATTCCATACGCAGAAAAATGAAAATTAATTTGTGGGTACTTCACCTACATACCTCTAACGATTCAATGAAATTTCATAACTCGGTGGGCATTAAAAGCAGAGTTTCGCTGCTTCCGATTTCAAATCTCAGTGGTAAATTTTTTTTATCTTTTTATGTGTCTAATATCATTTGAGACCGATTCAGGTACAAAAGTGTAAAATTATTAATTCATTCTATATATAAATAAAATTAACAGAGTACCCGATGCCGTTCGGGATGAAAAAATAGCTGATTTAAAATTTCACTCCTATAGTATGTGTCACACTCATTTATATAAGCCTTACTATAAGCGTCTGCTCACAGCTGTCTTTACAACAAATTTCAAAGTCATGTGGCTTATGGTTCCAAAGTTACGGTTCTCCGAATGTTCCACGTCCCCTTCTAAACACTCATCCTCTACTTTTGTAATGCCTCCACATCAAATATTAATCTCATTTGACTTTTGGTGCCTCCTCCTGTAGCCCTCCTACATTTAGTTTGGAAATGAAGAGGGTTGCTACCTGTTTGATAATAATAATAATAATAATAATAATAATAATAATAATAATAATAATAATAATAATACATAAATTGGCGCTTACACATATGTTAGTCTTTGGCCGAGCTTCTCCTCCGATTTGTGGCGTGCGCCTTGATGTCGTCACACAAAGGGGAGGGACCTACTGTTTTACGTCGACTCCGAACGGCGATTGTATTTTTAAGATAAGCTTTTTTCATGGTAGAAACGCCGAGGGGCGACCGCTACTATTTATAAAAAAATTTTATTTTATTTAGTTTTTCGTTATTCGTTAGGTTTTCCAACATTCCTTTAGATGGCGGAATATATGTACATAACTTAGATACGTATATAACTAGATGTAAGCAAAGTCCTTGTAGCATTAAATGTCAACTAAAAATTATGTGAATTACTTTCAAATTGTATCAACTTACTGCACCCAAAATGGCATAAATGGCGCCAGCAATTTTACCAGAAATGGTGGTATAATATCAGCTAACAGCACCGCGCTGGTAGACATTTTATTGCAATTGCGTCGTTGGCCCTAGAAGCAACAGATTTGCCATTTTAAGTTCGCTGGGAATATTTATCTGTATTCAGTCTTTTCAATTAAGCTAATATTTGCTACATTTTCAAATTTTGAAATGATATCATGTTCCGCGGTTAACATCACCACATAACCATAGTTGTTGCATAAGCCGAGAACCCAATAGGCCGTAAGGTCACGCCGTAGACCCTTATCCTTAGCTGGTTCAGATGCTGCGTCGGTCATGCGGTTAAAGGAGAAATCATTATATTACCTTCAAAAATTGCTCGCTATTGTAATCCTGCATCTCAAGTATTACTAAAGTGCGGATTTTAGCCAGAAAAGTATGTATCTATAAACTTTAATTGAATTTCGATAAAGGTTTATACGGGGGTGGTCCCAAAAGTACCCGGCCTAACCTAGAGATGGCGGTAGTTGTTTGAAAAATATCACTGTGTTAAAAAGTACACAATCTATAAAGCATATTTTTCAAGTTTGAAGACGCTACGTTGTTTAGTATATGCTTGGCAGCCGTCAATAGTGAACGTTTTCAGTGAATTTGTTAAAATGGAGAAAATTGGTCATCGTTATGTGATACAATACTTTTATTTGAAAGGCCTCAGCCCATCCAATATAAAAGCTGAAATAGATTCTACTTTGAGCGGGTCTGCTCCTTCGTTCACAACAGTAAAATATTGGGTAGCAAAGTTTAAACGAGGCCGTACGAGCTGCCGAGACGAGCATCGCCGTGGTCGACCAAATGAGGTGACGACTCCAGAAATGGCGAAGAAAATCCACAAAGCGGTAATGGATGATCGTCGACTGAAAGTGCGCGAGCTAGCAAATATAGTAGGCATTTCAAAAAGTACGGTACATCGCATATTATCTGAAGATATAGAAATGAGAAAGCTGTGTCCAAGATGGGTGTCGCATTTGCTCACACTCGACCAAAATCAGTGTTGTGAAGAGGTTTCAATTGAGTGTTTAGCGAATTAATGAGTTATGTTTGAATTGCTACCTCATGCACCCTATTGCCAGATTTAGCCCCCTTGGACTATTTTCTGTTCTCCAACTTCAAAAAGTGGCTCCGTGGTCAAAGATTTTCTAACGATGAAGAAATCATGTCGGCAGTTAATGGCTATTTTGAGGAGCAAGACAGTTCTTATTATAAAAAGCGTATCGAACTTATTGAGCATCGCTGGGAAAAGTGTATAGAGCTGAAAGGAGATTATGTTGAAAAATAAATATATTTTTTCCCAAAATTTTTGGGTTTTCTGTATTAGGTGGGGTACTTCTGGGACCACCCCCGTAAGACTTAAAAACAGTGTTTTTGAAAACTCTTTTGTATTTTGTTTATTTTTGCTTCATTGTAGAAAATATTGTGCAATATTTGGAAAAATTAATTAGATATTAACTCCATATCAACTTCACTCCACTCCACTGCTGTACTAGAGATTTGACAGCAAAAAACTCGGCAGAGAAATCAACGCTAAGGCCAAAGCGGAAGGAATTTTCATTAGAAGGCCTTTTGGCCACTTTGCTTTAGACTTCGTCATTCCTCGCGACAGCTTTACGATAGGACCTAAAGTAGTAATTGAACAAGAGGTATGGAAGAAGGGACCACCTCTTTACAGATTGATTAAAAAAGGAAGTAAGAGGAGGGCTGCAGTAGTCTGCGCTCAGCGGCACCCGTGGCCGAACTAACTACATCCAACTCACGCGTCAACAATTTCATAGAAAGTCATGCTGCTATCACGGCACGGACGGATCTACGCTCGGAGCATATGTAGCATATGTTTACTCTGATAGACCAGCGGCTATCCGGGCCTTGAACGCTATGCTCGTGCGCTCGAAATCGGTAAGGAAATGTCTGATTTTTCCTTCATTATTTGGGTACCGGGCCACAGTATCATTGCGGAAAACTGCGTGGCTGATGACCTGGCAAGGAAAGGCACCCTTGAGACATTATCACCGGGTATGAAGCAGCTGGATATACCTCTGGCCTCTTGTACGCTCACCGAGTGCTGGGCTTAAACTAAGACATGCGCAATTAATTGATCCTTCTGGCCTGGGTAGGACCGGGGACAGTCAAAGGCGCTGCCTATGCTTACAAAGCCTCAGCTCTCGCTTTTGGTGGGAGTTCCCCTAGGCCATTGTGGGATTGATATTCACGCGGTAAGTTTGGGAATCCTATATGAAGATGATGAGGTGGTATAATCTCAAGACTTTCGATTAGACGGACCAGACTTCGCGGGACTATGGTGTAAACATTTTGGCTCGCACTTCCTGACTATCCCTGAGGAGCTCTCAGGCGTTGAAATTACCAGCATTCGTAGAAACGTGCTCGTTTCGCGGCGTTTCGCCGACTAAATTAATGGTCTCTTTTCAGCACTATAACTAATCTAGATTCGCTTGCAAATTCATCCTTTTTCTTATTGTAGTCCTGTTACGAATAGGAGGAAGAGGAGTTCGTCTATACTTAGTAAATTCAGTCATTTAAAATTACATAATTTTCAAAAATCACTGGAAATAGTTAAACATGGACTACTAGAATGTTTAATACTGCCTCAGAACATCAATGATTTCACATAATACATATATATATATATATATTTTTCTCCCACGCGATCTTATTCCACTCATAACTTTTCATCACAGAAACAGTTAATGATCTACCATCGTAGGCTCTTCCAACCGCGGTTTTAGACCAACACAAATTTCAGAAAATAAACAAAACATATTTAATTGTTTAATTTTGCCCCCACTTGGCCAGAAAACATTCTTTATAAACGGCTGTTGCTTAAAAATTTTAAGAGATACATATTTCTGCTCTTATCTCGAAAAAGTAAGATTAAGTAAGAGAGATTTTTTTACTTCAGGTTAAAATCTCTCATCAGCCAATTAATCAATATAGCCACCTTAACATCTCAGAGCTACATTTCTAACATTAGTGTGTAGGTGCAAACATACCTACTTACATACGTGCTTATCAGCAAAGCTCTCACTTCTAAGCTTTTAAGCCGCAAAATTGACGCTTAGCATTAAAATACGATCAATAGAAGCAATCAGTCATAGTCGAGTAGCCAGTGATACCAAGTGTCTACTATACGCCTAAGAGGCTAATGACCTGAAACCAATAGAAACAAAGTTAAAAATAAATTAAAACAAATACGAATATATTTTCTAATCAAAGCTGTCAAAAGTAAGCTGGGGTACTGATAATATTATAAATGTACTTATGTTTATATTAAACTAAATCTCGGATAAGTACAGCACGAATACGTCACCACGGTTTGCTATGCTTTGGCTTATATTGAAATGCCTGCTCGGTTACGCGCTAATCAGCTTTGATGTAATAATCAATAATCATCTAGCGGCTGCTGATGCCACAGTGGAGCAAGATGGCGAGAAACCGCATATAATTTTCATACTAGCTGATGATTTGGTAAGTAATTTAGTGACAGCAAATATAAATAGGTTTTAAAGGAGTGTCAACAGAGGGTACTTGTAGTGTTTAAGCACACCGGACAAAGTTGCAGCCAACTTCAAATTGAAGCGTCATCATTTAACAGCATTTGTTCGTGCGACGACTATGTCAGCTTTTGTGCCTTGAAAACTCGATTCGCGGGAAGCATCGGTATTTTGCTTACATCGGAAGAAAAGTGCAGCAGGAAGTTATCGGCTGCTGTGCGAGGCTTACCGAGAGCATGCTCCATAAATTTCTACCCATTAGTACTGGTTTGCACGTTTCAAAAGTGGTGGTTTTAATACAACCGAGATCGAAGGAAGGACATCAACGTTTGTAAATGCCGAATTGGAGGCAAATTTGAACGAAGACACGTGCCAAACCTAAGAAGAACTTGTGGCAATATTAGAGCTCAGTCAACCAGGCATTTCATTGCGATTGCAAGCCATTGTTGCCTCAAGCATACAAACGAATAGATAACGAACGGAGTGTCGCTATTTCCCAAATGCTCCTTCCACGATACAAGGCGAGGTAGTTTTTTGACGAAAAATGGGTTCATTATGACAATCCAAGGCGGCAGAAGGCATATGTTAAGCGCGGCGAACCCGGGCCATCGACGCCAAAGCCAAATATTCCAATGCAGCAAGGTAATGTTCTGCATTTGTGAAACCAAAGGGAGTGCTGTATCATAATCTTCTGAAAGGTGGTCAGTCGATTGACAACATATGACGCGATTGAAGCAGATGTGACGCACGTACGCACATGTTGTCAATACTTATTTCGAAGGTACCGGATGGGAAGTCATAACCCGCCCGCCTTATAACCCAGACTTTGCACCATCAGACTACCATTTGTTGCAATCGATGCAGAATTCCCTTACGGTTCTTTGTCTCGAAAGACGAGCAGGTCTATTGATGCGGAATCCATGCATTGGCAGAAAAGTGGGGAAAAGTCATAGCTGGCGATGGGCAATACATTCAATGTTTGGTCTACAGTAGTGGGACTGCAAGATCTGCTCAAGTACCGAAAAGCGGACAGGTTTTGGAAAAGAACTGTGGGTTGCAGACTTGCAAAGATTATGGAATGGTTTCTCCGTCTCAACTTAACTTTGTCTAGCAAATTTTTTGGACTTAGTCAAGAATAAGCTGAATAAAATGTAGGCTAGCTTTTGACTTAAGTCCAAAAAATGGCTAAACTAAGTTAAGTTGAGTTGGAGAAACCAGCCCTATGTGTAGTTCATACGACAAGAAACTTGCTGATTTCTTTCTATATTCAAGATGAACAGACTTAAGACTTCTTGTGGCATTGAAAACAGGGCATTATTTGCTATCAGCACATGCGTTTAAATGAGGTCTTATAGAAGACAAAAAGTATTGGAAGAAGAAACTGTGGAGCTAATTACCAAAGGAACGGCGATGTTCTTCAACAATGTGTTAAAGCCCTGTTTCATGGGTCGTAAACGTGTCTGGCAACGCTACGGGTGTTCTATTCGTCTATGCGAGACGTCTTAAGGTCAGCCAGCATAACCTAACCTAACTTACTTGTATACCCAATATGTGTGCCGTAGAAATCAACAGCCTAAGTCCTTAGTATTAAATAAATTTGTAGCTACGCAATTTTAAGCATGCTTCTCTATATTATTTTACACCTTCTAGGGCTTCGATGACATTAGCTTTCACGGCTCGCAGGAATTTCTCACGCCCAATATCGATGCGCTCGGATATCATGGTAAAATATTGGAACATCTGTATGCGCCAGCTATCTGTACACCATCGCGTGGAGCGCTCATGACTGGCCGGTATCCGATACACACAGGTCTGGAGTGATTTTGCGGAAAAAATTCTAAATCCACTCTCACAAGCTTTTTTTTATACACAGGTACACAACATTTTGTTATTAGCAACGAAGAACCATGGGGATTGCCGACAAATATTACAATGTTGCCAGAAATCTTTCAAAAAGCTGGCTACTCCACTAATTTGGTGGGTAAGTGGCATTTGGGTTTTGCAAAACGTGAATTCACGCCCACTCATAGAGGTTTCGATTATCACTATGGCTATTGGGGTGGCTTTGTAGACTACTATCAGCGACGCAGTCTCATGCCGGTAGGTTGGCATTATAGAGAGAATACTGTATATACAGTCTTAGAGTTATTAATAAGCTCACCTTCTGTCGCAGGTACCCGGCTACTCTATGGGCTATGATTTTCGTCGCAACATGGAGCTGGAATGTGCAGAACGTGGCACATATGCAACGGAACTTTTCACGCGTGAAGCTGAGCGTATAATACTGGCGAATAATAATACAAAGCCGCTTTTGCTCGTTTTGAGTCATTTGGCAGTGCATGCGGGTAATTCGGATGATCCCTTGCAGGCGCCAGAGGAAGAAATTGCAAAATTTCAATACATCAAGGATCCTAACAGGCGTACTTATGCGGGTGAGTAGACGCAATGAATGAATGTGCTTCGGATTAGGTAAGTTAAAAAAAAATTGGCTCTGGTTTTATCACAGCAATGCACTTAACATAACCCACCTACAGTGGGTACTTTACAAATGCAAAATTAGATTCCATTACGAATAGGAGAAAAACTATCGGTGTCGATAATTCAAGAAATCGGTTAACGTGGTCCAGAGTTATGCGGTAACATACATAAAACAAAAAAAAATCCGAGGAATTGATAACCTCTCCTTTAAAAACGATAACAATATCGGCAACTGTATAAACATTGTTTGTTAAACTTTTCGGCGTTAAATATGCGTACCGAAAAAGGTCGATTGTATGATAAAAAAGTATATACATACAAATATATCGGTAATAATAAAAAAGTATATACAAATATATCGATGATAATATCAAATACATTACATTTTCCTACAACGATATCCCGACCAAAGTATTACGATTTTGATGTTGTTATCTTTATAGTTAATATATCGTTGTGGCTAATTTATCGAAAGCAATGAAAATAACGGCATCCACGAGCAGGCGAGACGATTCAGTAATTTTATTCGATAAGAATTATATTCATATATGTAGGTGTCGATAAATATAGCGATTTGTATTTTCCCGATCAAATTTAAACATCTTTTTTAAATTTTTATATTTACGGTCAAGAATAAAAGTTATTTTTGGAATTTTTATTTTACCGCGTTTATATAACACTTCATGGCGAAATCAACTTTTTCCTGGGAATTGGACTAAACCATTTTTTTTTAAGAGATTGAGTCGTAGGGAAAACAGGGATTCGTCCATTTTTCGAAGTTAGCCTCCGAAATCGAGATATGTTATTTTTTCCTTTTAAGTGTTTTTTCTAAAATTTTTATTCACGAAGTAAATAAATATGCATATAAGAAGAAAGGGGGTTTAATCTCCTTTACAACGATACCAATTTTTAAAAATCGGTTAGTAATTTTTTTGTTTGAAATATTTTTTTTATACAAAAAAGGTATTTTTTCATTTAAATGTGTTTTTTCTACCTTTACAATGATACGAATTTTTAAAAAATCAGTTCAAAATTTTCTGAAATTTTTCTGTTTTTAATTTTTCGAAGATCTGACTTTTGACCCGTTATGGCACCTGCATACAAGAGCAAAAGACGGATCACGTCTGTATTTTTACTTTTTTTGCTTTTTACGTGCAATAATTAAAATAATTTTTTACCAAAGGTCCAATTTCGAACTTAGAAGGCCCATATCTCGATTTCGGAGGCTAACTTCGAAAAATGGAGAAATTACTTTTTTTACTTATGACTCAGTCTCTTAAAAAAAGTTGGTTTGGTCCAATACCCAGCCGAGTGCTGTACAGTGTAATCAATCAATCAATTTTTGATAGTTGCTTTTGATTGATCATATTATAACCCTTATTGAAAGATTTAATTTTTTAGATAATTAGAGAATTTAAATCGGTCAAAAAAACGCAATCTCCATTATAACGGTTAAAAATTGTGGAAAAAAAATTAAAATCCAAAATAACGATTATTTTTTATAGAAAAAAGCCCAAAAAAAAAAAATAAAAAAAATACCATTTTGCAATGATCTAAAGTGTTGTGATATTAACGGATGTTTTCGGTCCCTTGTATATATGTGCATTCATCGATACCAATATCGCAAAAAATCTAATTTTTTTTTGCAGTGATATCGATAAATGTTTCGAAAAAATATCGGTATCAATAAATATATTAATAAACTTCAAACATATCGATGACAGCATGGCATATATGAATGCTTGTGCGACAAAAGATTTCTATGTTAATGCCACGACCTAAATAATAGCATCGACAACAACAGCGATAAATCTATATATCAAAATATCGAAAAATATATAGAAAATTGTATCGACAAATTTGTAAATTTAACGAAAAAACCATTGATAAATTCATGTAAATAGCAACAATTTTAAAAATAAATGCATCGACGATTTCGATAACGATATAAGTACGAATAAATACATACATAACCGAATGTGATTCTATGTATGTATATACTAAGTATACCTATTTCCTTTCACAATCCACAGCCATGGTCTCACGCCTGGATCAGAGCGTAGGACGTATTATACACACGCTCGAAAAGGCCAATATGCTCAAGAACTCCATTGTGATATTCCACTCTGATAACGGTGGACCTTCGGTTGGACTGTTTGCAAACTCTGCTTCCAACTTTCCATTGAGAGGGGTATAAAAATTTTCTTTCCCAACCCAAGTACACTAACCATTACTAAAATACCTTTCCTTGCATCTTTTCACAGCAAAAAAACACTCCGTGGGAGGGTGGCGTGCGTGTAGCTGGCGCCATTTGGAGTCCTCTCATGCGTGAACGTGCCTCACTCTTTCATCCAACAATGTACATTGGGGATTGGTTACCCACGCTAGCTGCTGCTGCCAGCATACCATTGAATCGCTCTGCCCTGCGCTTGGATGGCATCAATTTATGGCCAGCGCTTAGTGACGCTTCCTCTAATCACAGTCTACCGAAAAAAAATCGTGAAATAGTACACTTTCTTGATGATATATGGAACGTGGTCGCTTTCCAACAAGGCGATTGGAAATATGTGAAGGGCACCACTTCAGCGGGACGCCTCGATAATCTGCTCACCTATCGCGAGCTCGTCGACACTGATCCGCGTAGTTTAGACTACTTCGCGGCAGTGGAAAATTCAACAACCTCGCAAGTATTGCGTAAATATGACGAATCACAGCTGCAGCGCGAGCATGTAGAGCAGCTACGTAATGAGGCTACAATACGCTGCGGCACGGGCGTGCAACGTAGCTGTAATGCACTTATTGAGGAGTGTCTCTACAATGTGGCTGTGGATCCGTGTGAACGGAATAATTTAGCTGCCTCGCGTGATTATAGCGATGTGCTGGCACGCATGCGCAGACGTGTACGGCAGCATAGACGCACCGCTTGGCCACCGGGCAACCAGAAGGGGTATTTCGAGTATAGTCCCTCGCATCATCGCTGCGCTTGGACGAATTTCTTGGAGGAATCTGCCAGTGAAGGTAAGTAGACGTGGTACAGGGAGGGAATATTAAACATGTAAATTTTTATTACATTTATTAAATTTTCAGAATCTTTCGATTGTGGCCTTTATGGAATGCCGTGTGAATTAGATAGTTAAAATAAAATTGCATATGGACTATCCAAATATACTTAAATGTCATAGTCATTGAAATAAAGTTTTCCAGGGACTTCGAGTTTCTAGAGTACGAGTAATGCAAACAATATGTGTTTGTGTTGTTGTTTGTTTGATTACCTTCACATTGCCTAAGTTAAATGAACATAAATGAAGGTGAAAAACTCGAACCCACAGAACGAAAAGCTACACTGAAAACGGCAAAACGCCGAAACAGGTTTGTCTCCAAACCAAACAAGGGATTACGAATATTCGGTCTAAAATAAAACAAACAAGATTATTGTTTAAAATATTTTCAAAACCCACGCGACGGTATAAGAACAAAATTAAAGCACCCGATGAACTCTAATTGATCTATGGTCACTCGACAAAGCAGAGAGTCGGTTTCGTGTTCAATAAAAAGTAGTGAAGAACAGAATGTGGGATTCTGAAACCGGAAAGATCTTTTAAAATCCAAGAAGAGTTTCTAATGCAGAATTATTTCGATAGTAGAGTTGAAATGTATGGATCTCCAACTTTCCCATATAAAGATACATGGACAACTTTGAGCGCTTTGAGCGACCTCCAAACATTTTGTGATTTCAAAATAAAAAAATAGGGGGATACTTTTTTCGATATAGAACAATCCTAGGGGGTGAGAGCATTACAATTCCGACTTTACTGTTTTTGGACCACCCTAATGTACATCTACAACATTTTGCCCGAAATCCCCAATGCTTGGGAGAAATGCATTTTCATTAAAAAAATATTGTATTTTATACTCATACAACCTCAGGCGTTAGTTGCGCAGCATGGAAATATATACTAGCAATTTTCGGACCACTGGAACTCTATTCAGGATTAAATAAATGACTCAAAAATATGGGAGCAAAAATAGAACCTCCAAAGTTCACTTTCATGCGAATCAAAAAACTTTAAATTTTTTATTCACCTGTAAAGAATAATTTACACTGAAGATATTCCCCCAAAACTGGAAAATATCCTTGAAACTTTTACTGGTTTTTCTGAACTTTTTTTCGAGTTTTGCAGTTTATTTTCTTTCAGGAAATACTCGAAGCCTTTATATTTTCGAATCATACGAAAAAAGAAAGCAAGCCTGCTTCCCAGTATAGTCGGGTCTGCGTAACCGGAACGTCACAGACTTATATCTGGCCAAGGGCTGTCACTTAAGCATCATTCCCCAAAAATAATAACAACAACATCAGGAATAATGCCTTGCACAATAGGATATTATAAGCGTTTTTCGCAAGTAGAACATATATAAATGTTAGACCTTTGTAATTTATATGAGATCTTGTGAACATTGTTCCTACCTTTTTCCTTTTTCACGTCTGTAAACTTAACTTTATACGGCAGTTGCGATACCGAGAATACATTGAATATCTCTCGTACGTCTTTACAGCAAAGACAAACAAAGAAGTGTTGGTTTTTGTACTCAGACAAATTTTTTAAAAGAGAATAACATTGTTTTTGTTTATTTTTTTTAGACTCAAAAGCCCATAGGGAGAAACAACAGTACCAGAAGTGACTGCAAATTGCCACTATTTGTTGAAAGTTTAAATAATTTAAGGTGCACATACATACATATGTGTACCCACGGTCTCAAGAAATCTCAAAAGACCAAAATGGCAAATTCGGTTAACCCTCCAAGGCCATAAGTAAAATAAAATCAATATTGGAATTGTAAATTGTGACCCATCCAGAGCTAAGTAATCTAATTCTGATGTAGGAAAAATTAATTTGTGTAAAGAAATAACTTTCTAATAGAGTTAATAGATTAGATTAGAGATTATTTTCAACTAGAAACAAATTTTTTCGCCAATTTTTCTTTGTAAAATTTTTTTATGAAACCCATTATTTATGCCTCGAATTCTTAACTTTTTCCAAAACAATTTTTTTAGTATTATCCAAAATTTTTTTATAATTTTTTTCCATAAAGGAATCCTTTCTTAATCAAAAATAATTTATTCCAAAATAAAAAATATTCTTCTTATGTATGGTAAATATTAAAAATTTTTGGTAGATATTATTTTTCTAAACAATATTTTACCTACATAATATTTTTCTTAAAAATTTTTCCATAAAAACTACATTTTCTCCTAGAATTTTCGTCCTAAATATTTTTTTTTTACTTTTTATTCCAAAAAATAATTATTCTCGAAAGAAATAATTTTACTGGATTTTTTTTTTCAAAGAAAAAAACTTTGTGCCTGATGATAACTTCTTTTCTGCTTCTATTTTTTCTATATTAGTTTTTCGTAAAAAAGTATTTTTTGCTCAAAATAAAATTTCTAAAAAACAGTTTTTCCAAAGAAATTCAAATTTTCAAAAAAGAAATGTTTTTATGATAAATTTTTCTAATTTTGTTAAAAATATATATTTTTTCTAATAAAAATATATAGAAAAAATAATACTACTATCAGCTATACATAAAAATTGCAAGTTTGAACAAATTTTTTGTTCGTCTTCTTTTTTAGATATTTTCCAATTTCGGAAAGAATATTTTTACGGGAGATCTAATCGAACGGACTAATTAATTAACAAAATTAGCAACAACTCTTAACATATCTATCGCTCTCTCTCTCTCTCGGTTTCTTTCCCTACTTAATTTTACTCCATTCAATCAGCGCGTGAGTAACTTCAACGAACGTTCTTGTGTCAAATCTCTTCTCAGCAGCTTCATTTAAACAAAGTAAACATGTTAACTTTGAAAACATTTACTTGTATTTATTTATGTTGATTTTGTTTGCGTTTACCTATGATTAAAATTAAGTTGTTGAACAAGCCGTCGCGTTAGTTAATCGCGCTCAGCGTAACGAAACGGTTTAGATTTCGCAGTGCTACATTCACTTTGGTGTCGAGTGCAGCAAAACGGTGCAGTGGACGGTTAGTAGAGTTTGAATTACGTTCGCTGTATGCTGGATACATTGAGTTATTTAAATTTTATTTTTCCAAAAATTTTGGTGTAAAAGGTAATAAACTTAAGTTAAAATAAAAATTACAGTGGCAGACGCCTCAAATGTGTATTGAAAAAGCTTTGAATATTTATCGCATCACATTAAAATTAATAAGTTAAATATGAATTACCATTTTTTACTATTTAAATGTGTGAAATTTCCAAGCTTAAAAAACCTACATACGTGCTGTGCTATCCATTTCATCACTTGTTCGACACATGTTGAAATTAAATTGTATAAGTGGCTACTAAAAATCTCCCACTACTTCATGGTCCATTGACTGGCTATTGTTTACTTTGAAACCACATTCAAACATCACTATTCGCCGCCGCCGCCGCTACTCGGCGCGATGTGTGTGAGAAAATGACAATTTTTACTCGAGTGCATAAATCAGCCAATTTAGAAGTTGCAAAAAAAAATTGCTTAAAACCATTAAATGCAATGAAATACAAGACAAATGAGTTAAATAAATTAAGCTAGGAGTCAAAGCAAAATGCTAGCTGCTTAAATGACATGAGAATCGGAATGCAAAAAAAAAAGTGATTGTGAAAAGCGAGGCATGGAAAGTAAATAAAAATGCTTCTTGAAATAAATACACTTAACTACCTGCTCGTATTTTTGGCTATTCTGAGATGGGTACATTTGCACGTACATATGTACATATGTATGTATGCACGACCATGGGCGATGGTATTTGGTAAATGAATTACCATTCACACATGTCTGTAGCTGTGTTTAAATACCCTGTCAGAAATCGCTTACAAAGCAACATTATTTCGACGGCTGAGTGGACGATCGACTAATCTCGGCAGTCGGTTCGATAACTCCCTATCTCAGAAAACTTTTCAAAAACGTCCTATTTCACAATTTGACTGAAAACGCCCGATCTCACAATTTGCTTCAAAAACGCCCTATTTCAACTGAAAATATATAGAAATATGTTGAGATAGGGCATTTTTGAAACGGTAGCTGAGATAGGGCGTTCTTCAACCAAATTCTGAAATAGGGCGCTCTTGAAAAGTGTTCTGAGATTGTGGGCATTTTCGAACTGGCTGCCGAGATAGGTCGATCTTTCACTCAGCCGTCGATATGAAAATATTTTAATTGTAATTGAGTGAAAAGTAACGATTGTTGCGAGTCGACCGCTTTTTTGTCGCCTAAAAATACAAAAGATCTGCATCGGAAAGTATTTTGTCAAAATATAATCGATAGAACTCAAAAAATAAAAATAAAAATACTCAAAGCACCGAAAAATCTCAACAAAAACATCAAAAAAAATCTCATACGTCTATACCTCAGCCTCGCAAATATGATTAATCCCGTATCATTATGTTCCAAATAGCTGCAATAGTATGAATATTTAGTCTAACCGTGAGGGTTCTATACGAATATTTTCTTGTTCAAAAATCTATAAAAACCGAGAAATACTTCTTCTAGTTCGCTGAGGTCATAAAGAAATTGCACAGCTCTGCAGTACGTACAGGGCTCGACCCCCATATAAGTAATTGGACATAGAAAATTCCTACGCGGCCAAAAAAACAGGTCAGATATTTTCGTAAAAATTTTGAGCCTGACTGCCACTAGACTCCCAGAGTGGATGATTACCTTCCCTATAGACGTTATAATACCATTTGACTGCTTTCTTAATGGCAGATATCTTCGCTTGAAAAACATTAAGGCAATCTGGATCTCTAAAGTTTTGTTAAATGTTCATTCCTTCTGACTGCTGTCTATCATATACATACTTTTTCAAGGAGAAATAACTGTTTGCCGCCTGTTTATAGTATTTGTAGTAATCTGTGTTGAATGAAACGTAGTCGAATTAACTAAGCACCAAATTTTGACCGCAGTTATCGGAAATATGCCGGCCACTTTAGCTGCCTACTAAGTTGGGCTTCTCTAGCGCATTCGTTCAATGCTAAATTCGTTTCACTTATTTCGCTATTCTCTGCAGGGTCTCTCAAATACACATGTATATTACAAAAACTAAAAAAAAACAACTCAACTAACTCTTTTTAAAGACTTTCAGTAAAAAGCGATAAATATGTAAATATTTCAAGTACTTAAGCGGGCTTTAAAAATTTTGCACAAACTATACAACAAATGAGTTTAGAACACGAGATT